TTAAACTTCCGGTTTGATGCTTTAGCCACACCCCTCTTTCCGTTTTTTTTTTTTTTTGCTATGAGGGAATGATGTGCAAATATAAACCCCACCCCCTACTCAATATTCCAATTCTTTTGGAAGTACATCAACATATTGAAATAAAAGTCTTTAAACTTCCGGTTTGACGCTTTAGCCACAATATTCTTAGCCACACCCCTCTTAGTGTTAATTTGCTATGACGAAATGATGTGCCAATATAAACCCCTCCCCCTACTCAATATTCCAATTCAATTGGAAGCACATCAACATACTAAAATAAAAGTCTTCCGGTTTGATGCTTCAGCCACAATATTCTTAGCCACACCCCTCTTACCATTAGTTTACTATGACGGAATGATGCAAAAAGAAAGCCCCACCCCCTACTCAATATTCCGTTTCAGTTGGAAGTGCATCCACATACTGAACTAAACATTTCAGCTACTTCAGTCTCATGCAGACTTTTAAGCTGTTCTTGGATGACTTCAATGCGCCATTAGACCTGAAAAATGCTTTCTGCATCAATAAAAACAATTCGAGGGCATTCATTTCTTGTGGTCATTTCGGCCCTGGAACTATGCATCATATCAGTTTGTCATAACATTTATTGCTATGATATTAAATCAGAATGAATCAAAGAGACATCTCCTAACACCTTGGCTTAGTACGAAATTCCCATCAGGGCCTCAGATATTTGTATGGTACATTTTTCACTGGCACAATGATAAAGCTTCCACATCCCTCATACAGTTAAAAACATTTTGGCCGGCATCCCAGAAAGCCACATATGGGATTGATTTCACTTTTGAAGAACTTTGTAAGCATACTTCACGTAACCATGCATAGAAATTCTGGAGGGCCAGCAGAACAGCATCACCCAAGTGAAACGCTGGGGTCTGCAATGACAGATCAATCTCTGACAGTTCACATATCCAACAGGGTTTGTGCCAGGTTTCATAACTACAAATGCTGACGTGCATGAACGGATTCTTGCGAAGGCTTTTGCCACAGCATGTGATGATCTATAATGATTCATTGGATGAGGTTCATAAAATAAAGACATTTTCCATCTATTTAAGAGCGCATGAATATGTGCAGTCAATCTACATTTCTAATAATGCACAGTGCTATGAGAAAGTGTTTGCCCCTTACTGATTTCTTATTTTATTGTATGTTTGTCACACTTTAGGTCCGACAACCAGGTCTGATTACTGTCACACCGGCTCGCAATCAAGAAATCACTTGAATAGGACCTGCCTGATAAAGCAAAGTAGACCAAAAGATCCTCAAAATTTGGACATTATGCTGACATCCAAAGAAATTTAAAAACCAATGAGAAAGAAAATAATTGAAATCTACAGTCTGGAAAAGGTTATAAAGCTATTACTAAAGCTTTAAGACTAAAGTGAACAACACTGAGAGCCGTTATCTACAAATAGCAAAAACATGAAACAGTGGAGAACCTTCCCAGGAGTGGCTGGTCGACCAAAATTACCCCAATAATCTTGTTTTTCGACAATCTTGTTTTTCCATTGGCAGATTATTTAGCTTGATTTAAGGGAAAACTCACTTAATTTTGGCATATTATTTCTTAAAACAAGACAATATGCTTTGCTTGTCTAAAAAATGCTTCTTGATTTAAGAACTTTTAGATATTTGGACTAGAAACAAGACAAAAAATCTATAAGAAAAGCATTTTTTGCAGTGCAAACATACAAAAAAAAAAAAAAAATCAGTAAGAGAGCCAACACTTCTTAACACCACTGTATCTAAGACCTAAGGGAAACTATATTTGCCTCTAAAAGACATCTAAGTGCATTTAAAATATTCAATTTTCTGAATGAATATTGACATTTTCACGTTCTGGCTAAAATACATGCACTAAAAGAAATAGGCTTTAAATAACATCTACATAAAAGACTGCACAACAATGCTCCCTCGGTATCCGAAATAGTCTAGATCACACAGATAGATGATAGTTCAGAGGAAGGCAGCCAGCCGCAAATTAGACAGTCAGCTTCGAGGAATTTCGAGCAGACCAGTTCTTTAAAAATGCTGTTTTGATCATGAAGTTACTTAGACTGTTGTAAAATACTAAATAAATATAAAGGATGAAAGCACAAGCACATTTTTTTCAAGAATAATAAATAATAAATAAAGGCTTTTGAGTGATTTAAATAATAATATTAATGAGCACCTTGAGTTATAGATGAAGGGTTTTTAACTGATCGTCCTCAAAGAGTGTCTGTACAGAGTTCAATATCTGAAGAGGTTGTTTTAAACACTGGAGTACCCAAAGGCTGTGTGATATCACCTGCATTATTTCCGATGTATATAAGTGAAATGCAGATATCTGAAAGCAATATTACCCTACTCAAGTATGCTGATGACATGGCTGTGGTTGGACTTGTGGTCAAAGGAAAGGAGGAGCTAGAGAGGGCCTACTTTGAGCACTTAGAACATCTGGTGACCTGGTGCGACGAGAGTGCTTTGTCACTAAATGCTTTGAATACTAAGGAACTAATCATTAGGTGGGAAGGGTAGCCAATATGTCATCCAGTTACTATTGAGGGTCAACGTGGAGATTGTGAACAGTTTTAAGTACTTGGGGGTTATTTTAGATAGTAGTTTAAAATTTGGTGAACACGCAGACTATATCTATAAGATGACAACACAGAGACTCTTTCTTTTAAGGAAATTAAATTGTTTTAATGTTAGTAAGGGTATTCAGAGAAAGGTTTATACTAGTCTGGTTGAAGGTATTATCTCCCATTATATTTCTTGCTGGTACGGAAATCTTGAAGCAAGTATAAACTTGCAAAGATCGTTAACGCGGCTAGTAAGATCATAATGGATCCCTAGAAGTAGCTTGTGGAACTGTATATAAACCAGACCAGATGGAGAGCCCCACAGATAGTTCAGGACTCCACCCATCCTCTTTATTATGAATTTGAAAAGCTTCCTTCAGGTAGATGATACAGAGTACACAGAGCAACAAACAAGTATTTTTGTTTAGTAGTTTGTATGTTATTCTGTGGTTTCATAGCCAGGGTTGTGTGTTGGTAATCTGTGGTGTAGGAAGCTTTGCGTTTGTGTATTTATTTGTGATGATTGGAAGTCCAAAAATGAATTTCCATACGTGTGGACAATAAAGATTTCCAATAATAATAATAAACATCGCCAATGATATACATTAAGTACTGCTAAATAATTAAGTACAATGCTGAAGTCAGATATTCTGCTTTGACAAATGTATATACATGGCGGAACGTCTGTCTTTGTTTTGGTTATTTGGTCATAAACCCGCCCAATAACAGTTTAGCCAATTATATTTCACATTAATATATTATTATTATATTATGTATATTTCTGAAATGGGACCTCCGGTGGACAGTAACAGCCTCCAAAATGAGACGCAGATTCAGAGTTCCGCATGGCGTGGTTATAAATTAGCAAATAACATAATCATTACAAATGTAAACATTAGGTGAGCAGGTTGAATTGTAACCCCATGTCTTAACAACACCCTACATGATGAGATTTGCAGTGATAAGCAATTGGGCTGTTTGCACCAGACGAAACACAACAGAAATTTAAATACAGCCATTCAGACACAAAATAGTGCACTTACTGGAAAAACCATACAATTTATAATATAATTAATACATATTAAACCTCTTTAACATTTTTAGATGTACATGCTGAATCACTGATATGTGTTGGCTTGCAGTTCTAAAGTTCAATTTCAAAAGGTTTATAATATTTTTAAGACCTGTGGTAAACTATCCAACCCAGGCTCATTCTGAAAATGTAGTCCAGCGGATGTTTCTGGAGACCGCGAAATATGTCCCGGAAGGTACGTTTGGCTGCATTTAATTTTTTTAAGTGAACGCTACCGGGCGGTGTGACGCGGTTCTCTTTCGCGCTTGCCGGCTGACCCACTTACCTCCGTGTGGAGGGCTTTCCCGCTGCAGTCAGTTTGTCCGGTCAGCTCATCGTGTGCGTTGACGGACTTATGGTGCAGAGAGGAGGAATTGACGAAGGCGTCCCCGAGTCCGGGGAAGTGTGGTTCCAGAAACCAGGTAAGACAAAAACAAAATCCAAAAAATAAAGCGAACGAGTTCATAACAGAGTGACAACGTGGTAAAATCCGAAAACAGACGAGGGTTTTTCTTTTTTCTAGACGGCTTTTCTAAATTGTTGCTCGGGTTTAGGGAGGTGAGCAGGCAGGCAGGTCAATCAGTAAAACTGGTTGGGTTCAGGGAAGGAGGGAGGTGGGTCAGCCGATTGCCTGGTTGCGCAGTCAATCATTCGGTCAGTCAAACAGCGGCCTCTGGTGGGTTGACGCCAGAACAGCACGGGCGCGAACGGCACCTGCGAGAGACGTTCTAGATACAAAAAAGCGCACACAGCGGCCTCTCGCGGATTCGCAAAACAAAAACTGCTCAAATACGTACCTCCCGGAACGTATTTCGCAGTCTCCAGAAGCGTCCGCTGGATTACGTTTTCAGAATGAGCCTGGGTTGAAACTATCTGCTGCTGCTTTCAGTAGTATGGCAATAAATGTCCTGTGAAATGGTATTCACAGCACATGTGGTCTACCTGAAGAGATCTGTTGTTCATCTGCAAGAAATAGAAGCCGTTTCTAAAATATAAATTTCAGGTGTTGGTTAGGACAAAACCTCCTTTTATTCCTTCTATCGCGTGCCATTGCTTTTATTTAGAACACGACTTAAATCAGCCTTTAGGCTCGACAGTCAGGCATACTGCTGTTAGTGTTGTCAATCTGGCAAGCTGCACTTGCATGTGTTTTAAACCAGGTGTGCAATACCTGGTTCAACCACTGGGTGTCAAACTTACACACTGTGCCTCTAACATTTATTAAGAGACTGCTTTTTCTACAAGTCATATTGAAAATGATGCAGCAGGGTTTTTTTTGGACAAACAATTGCAAACTTGTATCCCTGAAACATGCATTTTACCTGTTCGGTTTCTTTCCCACAGATCTCTGCGAAGGGAATCCCATCATGCCACACACCACACGAGAGTTCTTGATGGTCCAGCCGGTGTTGCAGATGTGGCCCCATCCTTCCTTAAACTTCACCTCCACCACTCCCTCAGTCACAGGCAAACGACCGGCATGAGCACCTTTAAGCGGGCGCAGACGAATCTTCTCCATACGCTTTTCATCCACCTGCATCTAAAACATACACAACTCAACATCAAGACAGGTGCATCCAATATACACTTTCAGCAATAAAGGTACGAATGCTGTCATTGGGTGGTGGTACATTTTCAAAAAAGTACACATTTGTGCCTAAGAGGTCAATATTGGTACCTTAAAAGTACATATTAGTACATAAAAGGTTTACCTCTTGACATGTTTAATCAATATGGAGCCTTTAGGTACAAATATGTACACATGTGAATGCTCTTATACCTTTATTTCTGAGAGTATTCACTTTGTTCTGCAATGTGGACGCAAGCTATTTTTCTCCTATAGTTTTAGGACTTCTGATTCATTTGCCTATGGGATAAATGACTATAAAAACTATAAAAATGCTGGGTTCCACCCAATCGATTTGAGTTGGGACAACATGAAGAACTTATTAGTTTTTACAAATTTAAGTGGATTGAACATAAAACAATTAGGCTGTCCTAAAAATGCCTCAATAATTGTGTTGTTTAAGCTTATTTTAAGTAGCTTGAACAAACAACAAACGTCGTTTTTTGAGTGACAAAAAAACTTCTTACTCTAAAAACAATTGTGTTTATGACAACCCATAAAAATAATATCATAAAAAAAGACCAGTTTGCAACATGAAACAGCATAACAAACATTTTTTCATAAAAAAAATAAATAAATAAAAATCAATCAGTGATTGATCAATGAGAATGAATCAATGAGAATGAATAAGACCGTAGAATTGTCTTGAGGAAATTAGGTTCCAATGGTTGTGCCTGCTCTTAAAGTGGGCACAAAACTAAAGTTAAGATGTGACGTACATCCACTTGAAATGATTTCTTTTGTTCTTGGGGAACAGATTTTGTTGTTAGAAGATGAACGTGGCTAACAAAATGAAGGAAGATTTGAATGACAGTTTGAAGGATTACTGTCCACCACAGTCGGCTCTCTGGTACAAAATGATGCCCAATGTTATTGAGAACGAAGAGCTATTTTTGATAGATTTCTAGAATTGTGTCATATTTGTTTGAACCACTGGCATGCACAAAAGCAGGGCAGAGTTAGACACACACTGATAACCCTGTCCTAAAGTACTGATAGCCCTGCCCTAAAGACACTCCATGTGACCAGAAGTGAGAAAAGATATTTCGAGGTGGAAGTGCACAGCTACATCCAAAACAGTCTCATTGTGGATACGCACCCAGACCTATATTTCTGGAGTAAGCGAAATACTTACCCCGGAGTACGTCTGGCTTCATTTAGCCTGTGAAACGAACACTATAAGTTGGTATATTGCTGCCAAGAGCTTCTGTTCCTTTTTGCACTACTGCTTACCTTCATATGTATGTCTTTTTTGGTGTTACCAGTTACTGATGGACTTGGCATGTGGAGCGGAGTGGAGAGCAGCAAGATGGGGTTTGAATTTGGCGAAGACAATTCCAAAAACCAGGTAATACAAACAAAAAAAAAAAAACAACAGGCTGAAATCGTGGTAAAATCATGCGGCCACAACAATCTTTCTTTTCTAGATTGCTCTTGAAAACACTATCGGTTGGGTTTAGGGAAGGGGGTAGGTGGGTCAGTGTTGTTGGCTGAAATGCATATTGCGGCCCCTGGTGGGTTTATGCGAAAAGAGTATGCGCATTTGGCACATACGATAGAAATTTGACCACACAGCAGTCTCTGGTAACAAAAAATGCAAGCCACGGGTGCCCAAAATCAGTCCTGCATAGTTTAGTTCCAACTTCCTTTAACACATCTCCCTCGAAGTTTCTTCTTAATAAGCTGGTTCAGGCGTGTTTAATTTGGGTTGGAACTAAACTTTGCAGGAAACAGGCCCTAAAGGACATACCTCTGGGTACATATTTCGCAGTCTCTATATATGCAGACCTGAGCACGTATCCGCAATGAGCCTGGGTTTGATAGATCGTTAGAAAAAGAGTACATTAAGATTTCATGTCGACTCAAAGTGAAATAATAATTGTCAATACTGACGGTCTGTTTGGGGAAAGCATTTTTCATCTTTCTTAAAATTTGGAAATCTGCAGTGAGATACAATCTCCAACTTACATTTTTTGCATTATACTATGAGGTTATTTTTGTGTGTGAACAAGGCTCATGCTGGACACGAGTCATCACACATGAGGGTTTTGGATCGTTTTTGGTAAGCAGTCAAACCTCACAGTTGTTGTGCATTGGCTAGAACGCAAAATTGTCTCCAGCGTTTACACAAGCACTTCCAAATGTCTGGCCAGCACAGTCCACAAAATCTGCTGAGCACCTTGCCATGGGACAATCAACTGAAATCTGAATTTTTCTGTGGACAGGAACAATGTTTAGTATTAAATAAGTTATAAATAATAAACTATAAATAATATTAAATATTATTAATAATATTAATAAACTATATAAATTATTTATATAAAAATAAGTTTATATATATATATTTTTGTGAATATTTTTCTGCTGTCTGATTTTGCACTCCATGGAAATGAAACACATCTAAAAGAAGGCGGAGTTCCAGGACACACACATCAATTGCGTAGTCATCACTGACCAATGATCCAAGGTCTTTAGGGTGTTTAGGACCAAATCAAATTCCCTCAAAAAGTTTACTTTGGTGGGCTGTTTTGAACTTGCTAAAAGAAGTTCAAAACGAAATTGGTTTTGGCCGGATTATGTTTGAAATTACATAATTTCATTTTTTTTTTTTTTTTTGAAGTACACCGGGCCTTTAGCACTTATATAATTTCTGAAAATGAACAGACAGCAACTAATTGCTCTGAAGAGAAGTAAGCCATATCTAAAGACAATCCAGGAACATTCTGATTACGTAGCCCTATATAGATTTCTGAAGAGCGCCAATTATGTCCCAGGAGCTAAATTTTTTTGTTTTCGTGAATATGTTAGAGGTCGCTGTGTACGCTTTTTGAGATCTCAAATTTCTTGATTGCCGTTCATGCCTGTTCTCCACCAGAGGCCGCTGTCGACTGACTGACTGATACCCCCACCCACCCCCTTCCCTAAACCCAACCAATAGTGTTTTAAAAAGCAATCCAGAAAAAGAAAAGCTCTCACGGCAACCTGAATTTTACCATGTTTTCAAAACTGACCACATTCTCTCCCTGTTATTTACTTGTTTGTTTTATTTGAAGGCTTTTGTTTTTGTCTTACCTGCTTTCTGGAACTGTTCTTCACCAGACTTGCACCCCGCCATCACAGTCAACTCCGCTCTGCATTTCAAATTCTCAGATGTATGCGACGAGCCCCTGGACTAACTGGTAACAGCAGAAAAGTCGTCCATATGCAGGTAAGCGGGCAGCTGGTAAGCACAAAATAGAATGGCGTCATACCGCCCCGTAGCGTTTGTTTTAAAGACGAAATGCAGCCATACGTAGCTCTGGCTACATAAATCATGATGTCCAGAAATGTATATGGGGCTACACTTTTAGAATGAGCAAAAGTTTCAGAATTAGCCACCTAGCAACCATTCAAAACCACCCTAGCAACCACACTGCAACATGCTAAAAAAACAGAAAATGCGTTTTAATAGTACAAGCATAACACGCATTGTCTTCAAAAAAATATAAATAAAATAGCTATGCCTACTTAGATGTAAATGTCAAAACAATGTCTAGACAATAAATGCAAACGTCTAAACGTCTAGTACCACAACACAATGTATAACAATTTCACTTTACTTTAATGTACAATTCACACTATTAACAAACAATTAGCTACAACTATTAGCTCAATATTAGCTGCTTATTAGTTTGGGAGTAGTTGGCTTTAGGCATCAGGTAAGATTAGAGATGTAAAATAAGATCATACTTCATAAGTGCTAATAAACAGTTCATATGTTAATAATAGACAGGTAATAAACCAGTGGTGAAAGCTGTGAATTGTGACTTAAACTAAAGTGTTACCTGTCACGGTCACCAAGTTCACACTAGAGGGCACTCTACACATCACATCTGCCACTGAACCGGAATACACTTCCCATAATTCTCAGCACCTCACACCTGGTGTTGATTAGACACACACATTATTTACACTGATTACATGGAATATTTATACATCATTCACACATACACATCCATTGCTGAGTCTTGTTCCCCTGTAGTGAGCATTATGTAAGTATTTTTATGTATTGTGTAGCTGTGTTTTTGACCCTTGTTTGTTTTGTTCTCCCTTGACCCTTTCGCCTGTTATGACGATTTGCTCCTGTACTGAACCTCGCCTGCGGATACTTTTAATAAAAGCTGCATTTGGATCCTACCCTTGTTGTCACCCTTCATCATTGCGTTACGGGAGCTCTTTGCACAAAGGCCAATGAATTCTGCATGTAGGCATCGCTGCAGCGCGGAGACCTAAAAGTGGGAGGGATTACTCCGCAAGTAGGTTGGGTGGCCTCCAAGTGGGAGGGACTTAAACCACAAGTAGGCTGAGTAGCCCACCCACTTGGAGCTGGCTCCGACCTCTGTTTATACCCTTCTCGAATTCTGCAGCTCATATTTATTTTGTTTATGTGTTCATTTATCCGCAAGTGTTTCTATATGCGTATTTTTGGTTCTGTGACAAGTCCACATTGCACGTTATATAATTTCCGCAACAACAAAAACATTCGTTTCAAACATGCTTGCATTCTTCAAAACAAATAGCGTGCAAATTATGATTACTTTAGGAACTTCTTTGTTCTTTGGGAAGCACATTATTCCTGCCAATCTCTGTTTTTTTGGAAAACAATAGTAAATTTGGATGTGAAATCAGTCATTTGCAACATTCCAGTCAACTCAAACACATCTGATTGTGCACAGTGAGCCGCAATCCGCAGATGCTGCCAGAGGTTTTGTTTGACACCCACTTGTGTTCCTTCTGCCTTAAGGACAAAAACATCGAGAAAACTGGCAGATATGCTGAGTATATGGCACTTCAGCACGTCCTCAGCTCAGCTTTTTTCTCTCCTGCTTTTCACTAGAGCTAAATCTCCAGGCTCTTGTATCTCTACATCTGTCTCTCTTTCTCTGGTGAGCTTCCAGCCCACAGACAGACCATCAGAGACTAATTTACTACAAGACTTTGAGCCGGAGCAGAGTGACATTTGCTGTGGACTCGTTATATGAAAGCAGGAACACAGAGGAAAAAAAAGAGGCTGTCAAATGAGAAGAGAAGATGAAAAATGAAAAAGGGAGAAAAAAAAAGCGCAGTGGAAGAGACGGATGAAAACTGTATGACAGAAAGTAAATGCATTTTTACAATGCTGCCAAAGGGGTGCAATAGGTGCTGAAACAATAAAAAAATTATTAAGAATAAAATGACAAAAACACATTAAATAAAATGTTATCTACTTGCCTGATTAACGTAGTTAAGCCTTAAAATATCACTTTAAGCTGAATACTAGTATCTTAAAAATATCTAGTAAATTATTATGTACTGTCAACATAGCAAAGATAAAAAATAAGTTATTATAAATGAGTTATTAAAACTATTATGTGAAGAAATGTTTTCCCATTAAAGAGAAATTGGGGAAAAAATAAATAGCAAGGCTTTTAATTTATTTTTACTGTATCAAGTCAAGTCAAGTCAACTTTATTGTCAATCAAACCATGCAACAGTACATTACACAGTAGACTGAAATTGCGTTTCTCCCATACTCCAATGTGCAATTTAAAAAAAAAATAAAAAAAAAAAAATATGACACACACTAGACATAAACTAAACATTTAACTAATATAGTACAAGATAAATTAAATAATAGACACTAATAAACTGTGAACAGTTACCATATATCCTATTGTTCCAGAATATGACCAAGTTGAGGTATTTATTGTAGTGCAATTAGGTGCAGTATGGCAAAAGTGCAAAGTGCAAAGTAGCAGCTTAGAGGTAAGTGAATTTTGTAAACATGTTACACGTGCAAGGAATATTAACATAAGGAATATTAACATTAAGGAATATTAACATAAAAAAGATATATATATATATTTACACTCACTGGCCACTTTATTAGGTACACCTTGATAGTACAGCGTTGGAGCCTCTTTTGCCTTCAAAACTGCCTTAATCCTTTGTGGCATAGATTCAACAAGATACTGGAAATATTCCTCAAAGATTTAGGTCAATATCGACATGATAGCATCTTGCAATTGCTGCTGATTTGTAAACATCCATGATCTGAATCTCCCGTTCCACCACATCCCAAAGGTGCTCTACTGGATTGAGAACTGGTGACTGTGGAGGCCGTTTGAGTAAAGTGAACTCATTGTCATGTTCAAGAAACTTGTCTAAGATGATTCACACTTTGACATGGCACTTTATCCTGCTGGAAGTAGCCATCAGAAGATGGGTAGACTGTGGGCATGGTCAGCAGCAATACTCAGGTAGGCTGTGGCGTTGACACGAGGCTCAATTGGTACTAATGGGCCCAAAGTGTGACAAGAAAATATCCCCCACACCATTACACCACCATCACCAGCCTGAACTGTTGATACAAAGCTGGATGGATGCATGATTTCATGTTGTAGACACCAAATTCTAACCCGACCATCTGAATGTTGCAGCAGAAATCGAGATTCATCAAACCAGGCAACATTTCCCCATCTTCTATTGTCCAATTTTGGTTAGGCTGTGTGAACTGTGGCCTCAATTTCCTGTTCTTAGCTGACAAGAGTGGCTCCCGGTGCCAAGCATCAAGCCTCAAGGTTCGACGTGTTCAAAGATGCTCTTCTGCATACCTCAGTTGTAAGGAGTGTTTTTTAGTTACTGTTGCCTTTCTCTCAGCTTGAACCAGTCTGGCCATTCTCCTCTGGCATCAATAAGGCATTTGCACTCACAGAACTGCCGCTCACTGGATATTTTCTCTTTTTGGATCATTCTCTGTAAACCCTATAGATGGTTGTGTGTAAAAATCCCAGTAGATCAGCAGTTTCAGAAATACTCAGACCAGCCCGTCTGGCACCAACAACCATGCCACGTTCAAAGTCACTTAAATCAACTTTCTTCCTCATTCTGATGCTCAGTTTGATCCATTGAGTCTTGACCATGTCTAGACGCCTAAATGCATTGAGTTGCTGCCATGCGATTGGCTGATTAGAAATTTGCCTTAACATGCAGTAAATATTAATAAAGTGGCCGGTGAGTGTATTTAAGACAACACACTTGATTAATTACTTATGCATTTAATTAAAGGGATCTTTTACCTCGATGATGTTAGACTCTGCAAAGCCTGGAAGTCTCTCATCTTTGCAGATGACCCCTGCATCTTCCTGGTGCGTGCAGTCACTGTTCCCCCAGCCACGGGACACACATTTCTCAATGCTGTTTTCACTTCCTCCACAAATCACATTATCCAGCCAGATTTTACCTGCAGAAACATAGATTTTTACCCAGCTTACAACAAAACTTTCATAAAGTGCAAGCTTATTTGCAGATATGTGAAAGCATCCAAACAGCACAGACTAAAATGTAAATGAGTTTTTGACTTGACCTTATTTTATCGGTCACACCAACTAGGCTTGTCATGATGAAGATTTTTTGTTGTGTGATATATTGTCACAGAAATTGTTGCGATAAGCAATATTATCGTCGTTTCAGATCATTTTATGCAAATGATTGAAGTGATTTCACATTGAAATGACTATCTGTTAATTAATTAATGGTTTGTTTCCCAGAGATGGGTTGCAGCTGGAAGGGCATCCGCTGCGTGAAACATGTGCTGGATAAGTTAGCGGTTCATTCCACTGTGGTGAGTCCCGATTAATAAAGGGACTAAGCCAAAATTGAATGAATGAATGATAATTAACAGTTTTACTTATTTTGTGATGTGTTTTTATAACAAACAATTGCATTGAGAATGTCATAACTGAGTCAATGACACTTAATGACAGCTGCTATAAGCATGCATAAAATCATGCACATTCATGAAATGAGTCATGTTATTATTATAAAGGTTTAATGACAGTCTAATGAACACCCCTTCATTGTCTGAGCAAACAATGTCATCTTTGATTTAAAAATGTCATAACTGAGACAGTGACAATTAATGACAGTTGTTATAAGCATGCATAACCTCATTCACATTCATAAAATGTGTCATGTCATGATTATAAAGGTTTAAGGACAGTCTAATAAACACCCCTTCATTGTCTGAGCAAACAATGTGATCTTTGATTTAAAAATATTATAACTGCACCAATGACAATTAATGACAGTTGTTATAAGCATGCATAACCTCATTCGCATTCATGAAATTTGTCATGTTATGATTATAAAGGTTTAAGGACAGTCTAATGAATGAACACCCCATCATTGTCTGAGCAAACAACTCTTTTCTTTACAAATATCATAATTGAGCCAATGACAATTAATGATACTTGCTATAAGCATGCATAACCTCATTTATATTCATGAAATGTGTCATGTCATGATTATACAGGTTTAAGGATAGTCTAATGAACACCCCTCATAACAATGTCACCTTTGCATTAAGAATACCAAAACTCAGCCAATGACAGTTAATGAGTTGTTATAACCATGCAAAAAATCATTCACATACATGACATGTGTCATGTCATGATTATAAAAGTTTAAGGACAGTCTAATGAACACCCCATCATTGTCATAACAAACAATGTCATCTTTGCTTTAAAAATGTCATAACTGAGCCAATGGCAATTAAGTACAGTTGTTATAAGCATGCATAACCTCATTCATGAAATGTGTCATGTCATGATTATAAAGGTTTAATGACAGTCTAATGAACACCCCTCATAACAAACAATGTCAACGTTGCATTAAAAATGTCATAACTGAGCCAATGACACTTAATGACAGATTTTAAAAGCATGCATAAAGTCATTCATGAAATGTGTCATATCATGATTATAAAGGTTTAATGTCCATCTAATAAAAACCCCTTCTAGTAAAGTGTTACCGTCAACTGCCCATATGCAAATAAGACTGATTCTCACCGCTGCCCGGTCCATATTTGGCACTGTGGGACCAGCTTAGTGCCTCCACGAACCCTAGTTGGCGACACAGCACATGAGCGTTGGCCAGTGTGAAGTCGTCGTCACAGATAGTGCCCCACTCTCGATTGTAAAACACCTCTATCCTCCCTTCATTGTGCTTGCGAGGGTATCCGGCCAGACGAAACTTTATTTTCCCATCCTGAGATGGTGAGGTGGTCTGGCTGAGACAAAAGGGCAACAAGATGCCCCAAAGCACCATTGCAACCACCATATCCCTAAGTTCACTTCTCAGCATGGCTTCAAAGTGTGAGAGATGAAGAAAGTAAGAGAAGCTGAATAAGAGAGTAGTGCATATATTGATTTTATACAGTTGAAGTCATATTATACACGCTCCTGTTAAATTTTATTTTATTTTTTTCAAATATTTCCCAAATGATGTTTAACAGAGCAAGGACATTTTCACAGTATGTCTAATAATACTTTTTCTTCTGGAGAAAGTCTTATTTGTTTTATTTCGGCTAGAATAAAAGCAATTTAAAGCATTTTAAGGTCAATATTATTAGCCCCCTCAGCATTTTTTTTTAATTGTCTAGGGAACAAACCATCGTTAAGCTGAGTCCTAGCATCTTGAAAAATATCTAGTAAAATATTATGTACTGTCATGATGCAAAGATAAAAAAAATCAGTTATTAGAAATTGGTTATTAAAAGCAACATAGGCTCATTCTGAAAACGTAGCCCTATATACATTTCTGGAGATGGCAAATTATGTAGCCAGAGCTACGTATGGCTGCATTTCATCTTTAAAATGAGCGCTACGGGGTTGTATGACGCTGTTCTTTTTCTAGCTTACCAGATGACCTATTACTTCTGTTTGGACGGCTTTTCCGCTGTTACCAGTTTGTCAGGTAGCTCAACACATACGTTGGCGAACTTGGGACACAGACCGGAGTTGACTGAGACAACGATTCTGGTTAAGAACGATTCCAGAAACAAAAACAAAAGCCAAAAATAAAAAATAAACAAGTAAATAACAGGGTGAGAATGTGGTAAAATCTGAAAATGTGGTAAAAATCAGGCTACCGTAAGGGCTTTTCTTTTTCTGGATTGCTTTTCAAAACACTACGATGAGTTTAGGAAAGGGGGTCGACAGCGGCCTTTGGTCGATTTACGTGAAAATAGCAGGCGCAAATGGCACTCGCAAGAGAAATTTGAAATCTCAAATACCATACACTGCGGTAGAGATCTGCGTGGGACGAAATTTCTACTCTCGCTTATGTTCAGCATTTGTTGTCCCGCTACTCAACCCGCCCCAATTTCTACCCGCCGCGCCCGTTCCCAGGAGGTATACAGAGTCCAGACAGCCTGTAATAAGCTGTCTGTATAAACACACACACACATTTGCACACATACATACACACACATAGACAGCAACAAACAAGCTAAATTCAGCATCACGCTCTCTCATTCACACACATACGCGTGCTCGCTCGCTCGGGAGTCAGGAGCGATATTGTTAGACCGCCTGCTCCCGTTCAAAATACACCCGTTACCGACCACTCCCACACTTTATTCGGAAATTTATTCCCACAGCGCAAGAAATCTAGTTGAGTGCCATGGCCCGCATTACAGCCGCGGAAATGCAGACCCCTACACAGCGGCCTCTAGCGGATTCGCAAAAAAAAAAGTTGCTCCTACAAAGTTTTTTGCTCTCTCCAGAAATGTATTCACCTTATTCTCCGTCGACGAGCGGGCGCTGCCATTTAAATCTTTTTGGCACGAGACTTCCGGTCTCATTCACTTCCATTCATTTTTTGACATTAAAAACTGCTCGTTACGCTGCTTGATGTTGCAATTTGATATTTTCTTATTATATTATTCTACTTGGTCTGTATAGTCATGCAAACATTTGTCTGTAGAGCAAGTAGTTTGACCGTTTTCTGCCGTATATTATTCCTAGTCATTTCTCCCATAGGCGACTGAATCGGAAGTTCTAAGACAATCGCGAAAACAGGCGCACTTCCGCATTTTAGAATAAGGTCAATATAAAGGGGCGTAATCGGATGCAGCCTGGGTTGATAAAAACTATTATGTTTAAAAATGTGTTGAAAAAAAAATTTTTTTGCGTTAAAAGGAAATTGGGGAAAAAATATATAAAATGTAATATTTAACAGAAGGGGGAATAATTCTGACTTCCACTGTATATCAGCTGAATAAATACACACTGAAAAATACATAAATACAAATAAATACATTAAATAAATACTGTCAGTCCATTTTTTACATATTATTTACTTTATGCACTTTATGTAGATCATTGTGCTCAACACGAAAGAACATTTTTTGAAGCTTTTGGTCCATGAGCATCATATATATTATATACTAAATAAAAGTATTTTATTTATTTATTTTACATACTATGTTAGTCAATGGAAACCAGCAACTGTTTGGTTATTCACATTTTTAAAAATAACATCTTTGGTGATTAGCAGATTTCAAACTTGAGTAAACGATGGACAAATTAGCAGTTTTGAAAAAAACTAATTAACATTATTCAGAATTTCATAAAAAACCAAATAGCCCTATATGAAGATAAGTGTCCAACAATGAAGTTAAATCACTCTCACACAATTTATTTATTGTTAGGAGTTGTTTTTTCTTTTGTGATGTCACACCATAGCACATATTTACAGTACAGTTCTATAAAAAGTAAAAAACTTAAAGAGTTAATAAAGTTAGTGACGTCATGCTAACTATCAAACTAACTAATAAACAGGAATGAATTGTTATTAAACATTTTAATAACAATTAATTTAGTCTATTGTTTAATAGACTAAATAATATTAATATACTCCTTTTATTGCCAGAAGTAAAATCTCAAAATGTAACTTATTGTTATTTTTATGGCAAGGAAGTGACGCAGTAGGTAGTGCTGTCGCCTGACAGCAAGAATTCCGCTGTGGCGACCCCGGATTAATAAAGGGACTAAGCCGACAAGAAAATTAATGAATGAATGAATGAATGTTATTTTTATATTCTTAAAAACTTGAAATATGCAGTGGTTAACTGCGCACGTGTGCAGAAATGCTAGGATGCTGTTAGCATCTGACCACAAAATTGAATCTCACACTGTAAAAACACTTTTGAATATCCCCTTAACTCTAAACATAGTCATAGTCATATTTAAGATCACATTTCCCCTTAATCAGATGAAGTATTATCAGAATCCATATTTATTTGTAGATTACTCAAAGTGTATTCAGTCTCATATTGGAAAACTGCATGCAACTAAAATATTATAAATTATAAATGATACAATACTGTTAATTTAGAACGAATAAATTGCATGTGTGAGTTATTTATAATGTCTAATAAATATCACTTCTAATATAAATATAACTTCTAATATACAGTTGAAGTCAGAATTATTAGCCCCCCCAAATTATTAGCTGAATTAATAGTTTATTCTTTCCCCAATTTCTGTTTAACGGAGAGATTTGTTCAGCACATTTCTAAACATAATAGTTTTAATAACTCATCTCTAATAACTGATTTATTTTATCTTTGCCATGACGACAGTAAATAATACTTGACTAAATATTTTTCAAGACACTTCTCTACAGCTTAAAGTGACATTTAAAGGTTTAACTAGGTTAATTAAGTTAACTAGGCAGGTTATGGTAACTAGGTAAGGTGTTGTATAATGATGGTTTGTTCTGTAGACTATCAAAAAAAATATCGCTTAAAGGGGATAATAATTTTGATCTTAAAATGGTGTTTAAAAATTAAACACTGCTTTTATTCTAGCCTAAATAAAACAAATAAGACTTTCTCCGGAAAAAAAAATATTATCAGACATACTGTGAAAATTTCATTGCTCTGTCAAACATCATTTGGGAAAAATTTTTAAAAGAAAAAGAAAATTCAAAGCGGTGCAAAAAATTCTGACTTCAACTGTATAGACATGAAATAAGGTCATTGCATACATATTCCATTCAACTCCACTTACCTGAATCTAGAAGATTGTCATATAAGTAAAGTGGTTTGGGTTTAGCTTAGAGGTGATCCCTGTTTGATCAGTAAGTGGAAGTTCAGAGCATCAGGAGAAATCACAGGATAGTTTTGATGTCTTTGGAGAAAGAGAGAGAGTTGGCTGCGGGATGCAGAGGTTGAGCTGTGACTGCCGTGTATCTGCTGTTTCACGGGTTTATGATACGAAGGCAGCAGGTCTTGTGTAGAGGTCTCTCTAAGAGTCAGTGAATGGAAATGTCCCGTCATGTCCTCTCCATTTCTGGCAGAATCTGTTTTTGCATAATCTGGCAAAGACTCTTGAGTTACGTGTGCAAGAACTAGGAGGAGGGATGATCAAGCATCAAAGTTCACTACACTAGTGAATTTCTGTTTCAGATTTAGCTTATTTCATAGACTAATTGTCTTGGGGAAAATAAAACAAATAAAGGCTAAAAGTTTTAGCAAAATTGAGACACCTCACCTGTGTATCTGTCAACAGTTCACACCTACTACACAAGTCAACATCTGAAAAACACCGCCATCTTTTGGTCAACAGTACATAGTACTCCTCGCGTGGTTTAACATTTTGCTTTGGTTTTACATTTTATTTATTACTTTAAAGCATTTATTTGATTTTTTAAAGCTTAATTTCAGCTAATGTCAAATAAAAAAAACATTTTTACATTTAAATGGCTGTTTGTTTACTAATTCCCACAGTCCGAGACTACTCACCTTAAAACGACCTCTGTATATGTGTAAGTGACCACTAAATCATTATATGCCTTTAAATAATTTTAGAGCATCAGAGCATGTCACGTGTTTCGGTAGCCTAGGTGACTAATAGGTTAATCAGGCTAGCAGGAGCGAAGAGAAGACACGTTGCTGTGCGATTTATGGAAAAAGGGAGGCTTAATCCTGCACAATTTATTTAATAGAACCCTTTGGGAAAGCGGAGCGAGGTATGTGAAGTTAATATTTAAGCCACATGAGTTCATTTGTATGTATATGTTAATCGTGAGCTCTGCCTTCTTATTAGTTGTTTCAAACTGTCGTTATATACTTCACTGTTTCACTTTCATATGTCGCTCTGTACATTATATCTTTATTTGTCGTATTATTCTGTATACAAGTTGTTTTTATTGATTTTTGTTGTTTCTTTGTGTAGTTTCACGGTGCTACGCAACGAAAGTTTAATGGCTCTCGTCTTGAGCATAATAAAGAATCAAGCACCCGTCAGAAACTCTCTGTCTCGTTCATGGAAACCAAAGGGCATCTACAGTGAAACTCGACGCTTAAAGGAACCACGCATCTGTTTCATCGAGACGAGGCTGGCAGCTGGCAGGGTCGTGACGTCATCGCACAGGCTGATCGGAGGCTGCAGTTACCCATACTAGTCGGAGGTGGCGCGCGTGCTGTCATTCACTGTTGCAGATACAGTGGGAGACTTTGAGTGGCAAGAGAGTTTAAGAACAACATATTCCTACGTAAGCAGCATCAAGTCATCTTGAACTTAGTAATTTTAATGCTTTAAAGGAAAAGCAAATATTTTATGGACATTTGAGTTAAAAGGTTAAATTTACAAAGGACTTTAAATAAAAGGAAATAAATAATGTTATAAAGAACATTTACTTCATAGTTTAAGATTTGAATTACATTATTTGAGTAGAATTTAAGAAAAAAAAAAAAGAACTTAATTTATTTTATTTAGCATTAGAAAATTTACAATCAGTGTTAATGTTAGCTGTACTTATTTGAAAACTGACATTTCCTTGTTATTCCTGTTACAAGCTAATATTTTGGATGTCATATACTGCTGTTTGCATTTATATTGATCTTGTTTGCTAATTTATTTGGGTGCTTACGTGCTAGAGGTCTGGTGAGAGTGTTATTATTCACTGCTTAAGTTCCTCTTTAATTATGGAAGCTGTACACGCTGAAGAGGCTATGGAAGATACACATAGTACACATGAAGAAGCGCATGCAGTCAAACAAGCAGATGAAATGTCACTCCCAACAGTAGAAATAAGCAACCCAGTTGTGCAGCAGGTCAGATCAAGCACACGTGAAAGAAGCTTCACAGAAAGGGGTCTGGAAATGCGTGAACAGGAAGCCAAGCGACAAGAGAAAGCTTTCCATAAAGCTTATAACAGTTGGAAAGAGACTGCAAAAGATTGTAGATCAACATTAAAAATGTTCTGTTCACGTGAGAATCTAGAACAAATTCAGCAAGACATTCAAAATCAATGTAATCTAGTCCATCAGCATTATGAGCCAATATTGCGTAACCATGCTACATCTCCAGACATTGTCAATCGTATGGATGCTTGTGCTGCACTGACTGCTGAAATTATTGATCTTGTGAGTAAGCGGCTGGAGACAATAGGTGAAGATTACAATGAAGAGCTTGTGAAGGAAAGAGTGAGACAAGTCTTAAATAAAGATGAATATGGATCAATCTTTGGATGCACAAAAACAAACACAGTGATGTCAGAGTCATCGTTAGGATCAGGTAATCAGTCAAAGACCTCTTCCAAGATATCAAGTAAGCGAGCTGAAGCAGAAGCTGAACTTGCAGCAAAACAAGAGCAAGCTAAAGCTATGCAGGAAATCCATGATCAACAAGCAAAGCTTAATAAAATGGAGAGTGAATGGAAGCTTTCTGAAGCTAAAATGCTAGCAGAAATAAAGCAAAGAGAGGTAGAAATGCAGCTAAAGCTTGAAGAAGAAAGAAAACGGCTGCATCAGTTGCAAGTAGACAAGGAAGTAAAAGTAGCAGCAGCTCGTGTGAAAGTGTACAATGATCTTGAAGGGATCAGTCAATTTGGTGATAAAGAAATAGATTCTAGCATTCACAGATTTCAGTTAAACCCAGAAGCTGAATTGTTCTTGCCTCAGCAAACATTCAAGGCAGAGCATGAAGCCCAGCCATCTCAGAATAATGTTTCTTTAGCTCAAGCAATAGCAGACTCACTAAGCACACATCGACTGCCTGTGCCTGAACCCATGATCTTCGCTGGTGATCCATTGAAATTCATAGATTGGAAGATGTCCTTCATAGCTCTTATAGAAAGAAAGCCCCTCCCACCTGGTAAGAAGATGTTCTATCTTAAAAAGTACCTTGTTGGAGAAGCTCGTAAGGCTGTGGAGGGATATTTCTATAGAAATTCAGAGGATGCATACCATGGAGCATGGAAGGTCCTGCAAGATAGATATGGGAATTCATTCATACTACAAAAAGCCTTTAGAGACAAGCTGATGAGGTGGCCCAAAATTGGAATAAATGACCCACTTGCACTGCGAGACTTCACAGATTTCCTGCAAGGATGTGCTGAGGCAATGCCACACATTAAGGGATTATCTATTCTAAATGACTGTGAAGAAAACTACAAGCTACTAAAGAAACTTCCTGAATGGGTTGTACACAAGTGGAATCGAATTGTGACGGAAGAATTAGATGCATCAGGGGACTATCCAAGTTTCAAGTGTTTTACAGAGTTCTTGCAAAAGGAAACTAGAATAGCTTGTAACCCCATTACTTCCCCATTCATGAATATGAAAAATTCAGATGAAAAGTTCCCCAAGCGAGCTAAGGCACTCAGTACAAAGACTGACGTGAAAGAGTTCAGTTCTAAAGGGCTTAATACATCTAGCGTAAAGTCAAAAGTATCATGCATTGTCTGTAAAGATGAAAACCACAGCATTGTCCAATGTTCTGCATTTGGAGAAAAAACCATTGAAGACAAGAAGAACTTCATTCAAGAAAATCAGCTCTGTTATGGGTGTCTCAGGAAAGGGCACATTGTAAAAAAATGCAGAAGACGACATAAGTGTGGAACATGTGGCCGCAATCACCCCACATGCTTACATGAAGAAAGACATATGGTGTCTCCAAAACCATTAAATAAAACTTCAACAGAAGTACAAGCAAGTCAGGAAGTTCAGAAAGTTATGGCCCATGCACTCACACAAAGCTCTTCTGCTACTTCCAGTATTGTGCCAGTCCTTATTTCAACAGTGGAAGAGCCTCAAAGGGAAGTACTCACTTATGCGCTACTGGACACGCAGAGTGACTCAACATTCATTTTGGAAGATCTTCTTGATGATCTAAATGCAGTCAAGCAACCAGTTCAACTTAGATTAAGCACTATGACAGCTGTGGATACTATAACGGCAAGTAACAGGGTTTGCGGTCTGCAAGTTAGAGGACTCCAAGCAGCAAACTCCATTCAGTTACGGCAAGCATATACAAGAGACTTCATTCCTGTTGATAAGTCCTATATCCCAACGAAGAGCACAGCACTGGAGTGGCCTCACCTAAAACATCTGGCCAATCAATTGCCACCACTGCAGAACTGCGAAGTCGGATTATTAATCGGATATGACTGCCCTTCAGCTCTAGCTCCCCTTGAAGTTATAATTGGTCATGAAAATGAACCATTCGCACAAAGAACTGAACTTGGTTGGAGCATTATAGGTCTCTCTAATCCACACCTAGACAGGCAGGGAAATCAGAGCTTTGTCCACAGAGTTGCAGTCAAGGAGATATTTGTTCCATCACCCAATGATGTCTTGAAAATTCTTGAGTCAGATTTTAATGAGAAAGGTTATGAGGATAAAAGTGTGTCTCAAGAGGATGTTCGTTTCATTCAACATCTCAGTACCAACATCAAACAGAAGGATAATGGACATTATGAACTTCCCCTCCCTTTCAAAAGTATCAGCCAACCATCACTGCCAAATAATAGAAGGCTGGCAGTTGCCCGGCTGCAGCAATTGAAGAAAAAGCTCAAATCTAACAAGCAATATTCGGATGACTACAAAGTCTTCATGAAGGAAGTCGTTGACAAAGGTGATGCTGAACTAGCCCCTGAGATATCAGAAGGAGAGACTGTATGGTATATTCCACACCACGGAGTATACCACCCTCAGAAACCAGGTAAGCTGAGGGTTGTGTTCGACTGTTCAGCTAAGTTTAGTGGTATATCTCTAAACGACACTCTGTTGACTGGGCCTGATCTAATAAATTCATTAGTTGGAGTACTCTGCCGCTTCAGAAAGGAGCTAGTCGCAGTCACCTGTGATATAGAAAAGATGTTTCACCAGTTCCTTGTTCCTCCAGACGAACGTAATTATCTGAGGTTCTTATGGTGGGAGGATGGAGACTGGGAGAAAGAGCCTCAAGACTATCGCATGACAGTCCATCTCTTTGGCGCTACATCGTCTCCTGGGTGTGCCAATTTCGGTTTGAAGTACCTGGCACAGCAGTACGAAGTTAAACACCCAACAGCTTCAGAGTTTGTTAAAAGAAACTTCTATGTAGACGATGGGCTAGCCAGTGTTCGTTCAATTGATGAAGCCAAGGAACTAATTACTGATGCTCAAGCACTCTGTAAACAAGGAGGTTTACGGCTTCATAAATTCAACTCCAATAAGGAAGATGTTCTCTGCTGCATAGACCCATCTGAA